CGAGCTACATGCTCCCCATTTACTCTTCATGAGAATGGGGACATGAGAGGCATAAAACCTGCCATGATTCCACAGCATCTACCCAGAACTAGAAAGCAGGTGTTCCCAAGTGTTTGGAGATGGAGTATTTGAAGTAAGATTATTATCTGATGAGGCTGTATAAGGAAATTCTGCAGGCAATTTCTATCTGTTCATTAAATGCCGTGCCCTCAAGGGCATCCACACCACTGGTGGGGTTGTTGCATTCATAGATGTGCTCCTTGATAGGGGAAGGCACAACTAGGAGTAGAAATTGTGGTCTGAGAGACTACAGATACAGTAGCTAAAGGTCAGCCCAAAGTAAGTATACCTTGGAGTTCAGTTGATTAACCTGGTAGGTAAAACTGGTTTCCCCAGGTTTACTAAAGCTAAAACTTGACCTGCATATATTAATGGTGGCACTGAACATACATTAACTATGTAGTATAATTAGTATAATTACATATCTGGACACAATATAGTCTAAATACTGCATTCATGTTTTTCTATCTTTAGAATATATCCCATCCACAGAAAGATTTAATCACTTTGTGGGTGCAAAATACTGAATGTCTGATGCTCTCACTTAATGGTTTAAACTCTCTAATACTGTAGTGTATTGATTCTCATTGTTTATTATTATTATGTTTATTATTTCTCATTTATGATATATGGAGTGGCATTTGTGTCAGAGGCTTCTAATGGCTTGGGTAATGCCAGCACCTCTAAGTATAGCTACCCTTGAAGTCTACTGAGTCATTTTAAAAGGCAGAATGCAAACATACCAGAGCAGTCTCTCATGAGCAAAAGATGTTGTGGGAACTGTAGTAAATCATAAGTCTCTTTCACCTCCTGTATTGTAGGAAAAATCTCAAGGAAACTATCTGAGTGCTTCAGGAACACTGTGGATTGTGAGTTTTAAGAAGTCTTCTGTGAAGTCTAATTTTGATTGTTGAACTCAGTAGTTCTTCTAGAACCTCTGTGACTAAAGAGTTACTGCATTCCAGTTGACACATCATAGCATATTTGAGAGATAGGAGAATTATGTTGTCATCAAGCTCAAGTGGAATATTTTTGCATTTACTTTAAACTCTAATAACTTTTTAAATTTAAAATAAAGTTTTTAAATTTTAAAATATCCATTCAAAGGTATCTACAATTGCTTTTACAAATGTGTTTCTTGAAGATTGATATAAGTGTTTTGTTTTTTTTCTTGATGTTGAGTGAGGTTTTTTGCCATTATCTGTTTTACATTATGATCTCAGAATAATCTGATCTGTAGTAAAAAAAAAAATAGTAATTCTGAGAAAGCTTATTGTGGCAACTTTAAGTATATGCTGTGGGTAAATAATCCCTGTTTGAAGTTTATGTTTTTCTTTATATATTCATTATCTCATTTTCAATAGAAGAAAAATACAGGACACTGTGGTTCTGAAGGGAAACAAACAGACTTTGGGAAATTACAACAGATCTACCAGCTGGCCAGAGGAGGGAGTGAGGCAGTCTTTGTGGCTGATGAGATCAATGCTTTGGCCCAAAGTGAAATATAATAGCTATTTTGGCAATCTGCTTTCGTGCAATTAAACCTTGATTAATCCAATAATAAGAATTATACGTTATATTTTACTCTGCTTTAAATGAAGACAACCCTTATGAATCAGTAGGGATTCATAAGTATTAATGGTAATAAAAGTGAGGCACACCCAAGCTCACAGCTAAAAATTTCATAGTGCACTGGGGATTCCTAACTCTCCCTGTGTTGAAGCAAATGAATTTGCATGCAGTAAGAGCTCTATGTACTGTGGGTTGTAAATAGTGCTCCAAGAGCATTAGTAAGATTTAAAGTCAGGCACAAGTACAAAGCAGAAAAAACTCACAATTTTTTCTTCAGTTGTGTCTTAGCTTCCAGGCAGCATAAAGAGCACATTCCATGCATGTCTATATAGCCAAGGGAGTAATGCTGGTAGAGCACTGAGAGAAAAGCTTCTAAAATTGCTAATCTACTCCTGCTTCTTAATGGGTAAAAGGGTAAGCTGGTGTATTAAATTTACCATGCAATCAACTTTTTGTTTATGTCAGAATTCATTATTGCCTGTTAACACTGCTCCTATTTGATCATAATTAATAATTGGAAGGACAAAATTGCATTGCACAAAAATGGAGGAAATATATCTGTGGAAGGAAGGAGCTGGCTGGGGGGTAGAATAAGAGGAAAACCAGAACTGTGTAAGGGGAAGAGCATCAATCTTCCAAAGTAATTAAATGTTATTTATTATTCTAGTATTTCCTTGGCTGTCATTCTATATATCTTTAAAGATGCAGAAAACTGAAATTATCACATATTTTTGTAACCTGCAGATATTAATCTCTGTCTGTAGAAATTTGGGCTATATTAAAGCAGTTTTTCTGTTGTTAACTACTTGGGTGCCTAGCAGTTGCCTTGCTACCTAGTGTCAGTGTGTCTGTTCAAGAGCAGAAAAAGCAGCAGAGATCTTTCTTCCAAATCCAGTAGGTGTAAACTTGAAGTAAGTTGGCTATATCTAGAGGAGGATCCCTTGTTTTCTTCTGAAGACATATGTCTAAGTGACAATGACATAAAAGTGTTGCAGCATTGACAAACTTGCTGGGAAGTGGTTTATGCATAGCAGGGCTCAAAAGCCACTTGTTGCCAATAAAAGTTTGGGACAAGAGTGGCCTGAGCATCATGCGCCCAAAGCAGCTCATTGGATGGTGTCTCATGGTTAAATGTTCCAGATGCTGTGGCTCCTGTATGGGCTGTTCTTCAGCTTGTGAGCCACCATTTTCCTCCTTTATTCATTTCTTCTGAGCCCTTGTCATCCCCAGAGCTTCCTCTACATTTCCTGCTGTCACCAAGCCTGCGGCCAGCACGGGGGCAGTGACAGCTGCCTTGGGAGGCTGCTGCCACTCAGCCATTTACAAACCATTTGGCTCTGGTAATATCTCTGGTGGTAGCTCCCACACCTGCAGAAGATCTGATGAAATGCTGGTTTGAAATGGTATGAAAATAAGACGTGGTGCTGACAATGGCTCAGTGCTATGAACTATATTGATTTAGATAAAACTGCAATTTCTTTTAGCAAGGCACCACTCCAAAGAAAACATTTAGGCTTTTCTTTCTTGTGGTGACAGCTTCATCTTAAAGGCCAAGAGTGTGTTTTTAGACCCACCTTCTTCCCTTGTAGGTATGCTCAAATGCTGTTTGAACCAGTCATAATTGTCTCTCTTTGGTCTGACATCAGGGAAGGAGGGTAGGAGAAAAACAGTTACATCTGCCAGTGGTAAAACAAACAGATCTATTTCAGAAAAACTCCCCTACTTTTAACATAGCTCTATGATACATGGTGAGAAGCCTGTTTTGCTCCTTTTGTATTCAGTCTCATAGCTCTTTGGACTAACTTTCAAAGTGTTTATTTGCATCCTTGTTGAAATACTGCTTCCTTTCTAGTCTAAGAATTAATGCAATTCCTTAAGATTATGACCATTATGTTTTCTGCGTCTATGAAGCAGTTAGAGCAAATGAAGAAGTGGCAGCTGTTTGCACCAGTAAGCCTAATGAAACGCAGAGCACATTTGCATATCCAGACATTTCACCAACATCCACAGCACACAGAAGGCCAAATTCACCCAAGTGCAGCTCCTAGCAAGTAGCTGAGACATCCAAGAAAGTCTGTTTTAAACATGATTGCATTCACATACCAAGCTGACTGTAACTGGAGCACAGGTGAGTGTAGATTGTTGTAGTAAGCCTTGCATGTGTTTAAAATGTGGTGGGTCTGTAAAAGTTGGCAGTAAGAAGTACGTAGAATCAATATGAGGGCAATGGTAGTAAGAAAAAGCACCAGTGAAAGAAGTGATGAAGCAGTCCTTTTTCTAACCCTTTACCCAATTTAATTTATACAATCTGCCAGGGTTTTAGCTTTAAGCCTGGATTAAAGCCCCAGATTCAGTGCTGGGATAAACTGAATTCCACAGGAGTTGTGCCATTCATACAAAGGCAGAGTTTGTTCCTGTAGAATAATGATGTACTTTTCTGCCAATAATTTCAGTATTTTAATGCCTAGTTACAGTCCAGAGACTCTTGCTTAATATTCTTGCTCCACTAGGTGTAAAACTGGCACCTCCATGAGCTCCTCTGCTCTGGACAGTTAATATATCATGGCAAGATTCCAAAAAATCAGGGATTGGCTGTCAGAATTTTGCCTGGATCATTTCTCAGCCATGCAGTGTTCCCTAGCAGATGGCTGCATCCAGGTCCACTAGAACTGACAGAACTTCTCGGTTATACCTGGACATGAAGCTCACAGAGCTGTGCCTGTCCTGGGATGTGGCTGAGGCACTGATGCCAGCAGGAGCCACGGAGCTGCACGGCTCTGCCTGCATCACAGCAAGGGGATGAGGGTCTGGGCTTCAGAAATAGCAGGCAGCCAGTAACACCAGACACCGAGTCTCCGTCTACTGGATCCATTTAAGTTTGAGGGTCTTGGGGCTTTTTTTAAAAAAAAAAAACAAAACCAAAATCTTTTCTCATTCAGCCCAGCCTTTCACCTCCTACATTCTTCCCTCTTTGGCCTCATATTTTAGGATCAGTTTGCATGTTTGCCCTGTATAAGCAGGGCAGCTGCATCCGGGGCAGTTTTGCCTGTTCAGGGCTTTTCTTCTTTCCAGTTCAAAGTTTTTCTCCTTCATTTAGCAAGTCATTTAAGGGAAGCAGAGATGCAAGGGTGTGCTTGCTTGCTTATTGTATGTACATGACAGAGCACTTATATAATTTTTGAACATTTACTTGCTCACTGATCCTATAGAAGATAACTGCACCTGACATTTTGTATTTCCCTGCTAGTTGGGTTTCTGGAAAAACTTTGGAGTTCATTAACATGAAAATGACAGGAGAAATTTCTGTGGTTCTTTTCCCCCTCAACTCTCTGCAGTAACAGAACATCCTGTACTGCTTTGTTTTTCAGGTTGATGGCTTCCTGACACTTCTCTTTGGCCTGGCTAGCATTAATACCCTTACAGTGATCAGTGTGACACGCTATATCAAGGGCTGCCATCCTGAGAGAGGTAAGGAATAAAGGCAAGTCTAGTTCTTGCCTTCACTGAACCTGGTGCAATTTCTCTCAGTCACTATTGTCAGGCAGGCTATATTAAATATAAATTAAACTCATTGAAAACCAGGACATAATACAGTCATTTACATTACAAACGTTTTCATTGAATCCTTTAGGGTTAACTCCAGTAAAAGCCAAATTATTACAAGTGCACTTGGGTCACCAGGGGTAAATTCATCCTTGTGCCAAAGATTCCACAGGTACTGCTGACTCTCTGTAGTCCTCAAAATATTGCTCCTAAGCTATATACATTGGTGTCTGGATCTGACTGAAAAAAATTCCATCTTCTGATCAGATCAGAGAAATTTCAGGGATCACATCAGTTTTCATGCCTTTGTTGGAAGTGGCTTGCACCATCTTTCAGGCAGAGACCTATCAATGTCTGCAGGGAAAGTATGTGTAAGTACATGGGATACATCAGACGAGTTTTTCTCTTTACTATAGCAACGAGGAGTATTTGCTGTGAAAAGAACTTCTGCAGGGAGGTAATTTTTTCCACAGAAAGTTCTTCTGCAGTTTGGTGTAATGATAGACATGTTGAAGTTAACTTTCAGCACAGACTGCTGCTGGAGCTGATAGAGTTTGTCTGTGATGTAATCCTACATCTTCTATTCATTGTATGTTAAGAAGTCATACTCAAAACCCACATATCTCTTTTGTGAAGCTCTACCACATATCCATCTGACGGTGTGCATAATTTATGCTTGAATCTCAAGTAAATCTGAGCGAGAGCCCAGTATGTCTCAGAAATTTTGAGGAACAGAAATTGGTGGATGCCAAATATTTCCCACATAAATAAAGAAATAACCATGGTGCATGGCAACAGCAGGACAGATTGAATCTTTTGTATTGAATGGTTAATACAGTCTGAGCAATTTTCTCCTTTTTAGCAGGGAAAAACCTTGAAGTGAGTAAGAAAATCCCCTGCATTTAGATTTATCTTGTTCATTTCTATGTAAAATAAAAGTCTTCCCTGCATTTTACAGAATTGCAAAGCATAAGTCTAACATAGAATTCTTTAATTCCCCAGTGCTCAACAAACTCATTGTCTCCTGCTTAAAGAAAATTAATTTCCACTCTTCAATGGTAACACAGGTCCAACATGCTTTCAAAATCAAACTTTTCATATGAATATGCATTTTTGTATCTTTGTTTTTTTAATACCTGTGTTTCATTTATTAGCTGGTGATATATTGAAGTGCATTTGGATTTCAGAGATATGTTTGCCTTTCCAAGTGCTGTTTTCTGACCCAAGCATGCCATTGCAGGTCACTGCATCAGCAACAGCAGCATGTCTGTGGCTCTGGTTCTCATTTGGGTGGCAGCTTTCTTCTGGTCCGCAGCTCCACTGCTTGGCTGGGGCAGTTACACAGGTATCTTTCATTGTAGTTACTTGGCAGCTCTCCACTTAACAAAGATACTTGCCTTTCTTTCTTGCTGTTTGTGATAAACCTGACCGATTATCAGTGGAACTGAGAAAATCATTCATCGTGCGTGACGTAGGCGCAGAGTGTTACCTGCTTTGGTATCAGCTATAAAGAGATTGGGTTTAAGATATCACAGGAAAAACTTGGACTAAGTGCATATTGCCTATGGAAAAAGAGAGGCCAGAAATACTTGGCATGGTTAAGCAGTGGGATGAGGAAAACTATCTAAAGACATCCTTCAAAAACTGACAAGTTTAGGAAACTAGAAAAGAACACAAGTTCCAGCAAGTTAAACTTGAAACTATAATAAGACAAGCCAGAAAGATGTGGCAAAACGATTTGTTGAAAATATGAAAACTTAGATAGCAAAGGAACTCAAAGGTGTTGGAAAGTCTGTCAGTCCGAGAAAGAATTAGGGTGCAAGATAAGGCCATATCAAAAAAGGAGCATGAGGGAAAAAAGGAAAAACTTTGTATAGTGAACACTGCAGAAATTCAGTGGCTAAGGCATGTGACAGACCAGAAAATTTCTTCCTGGGGGAAGGATGGAGAAATTGCCTTAATTTAAGCCTGTAAGAATTCAACAAAAAAAATATCTAGGAACAAATGGTAATGATACAGAAGTCCCAACAACTGCAATTTTGTGACTGACATTGTCCAGTAGCTGTCTGTCTGGATCTTGTAGGCCTCTGCACTCTTTGAGAAGTCATGAAATCTATGGAAACTTAGTGAAGCAGCTCTGTGCATGTATTCTCTTACTTACTAAGTACATAAGCTGTGAGGTACCTCTGGACCCTTGAAGTAGGGATGTGAGAAAAGCAGCTATTCCTATGTTTGGTTAAGTGTTCTATCCTTCACAAACCAAAATACTCTCAAGATATTAGGCTCAATGGACCTTTGGTTTGAGGCAAATTCAAACTGTTTATTAGACTGCCTGAATTTTATGTCATATTTTTGCACTCTGGCCATGTCATAAACTTGGTTGGCTTGGACTGGTAATTTTCTGTGTATCTTCTAGTGATCTGTGTTCTTTTTACTTTAATCTACCAGCTCTTCACATACAGGGGGACTTCTGATGTCTGATTTTGGCCTTCAGCTGGAGCCAGGGACTTTTTGGGTGACACTACTTTGTCAGGACATTCGAGTGCCTCCATTCACCCTGTTAGAATTCAATTCCTTGACAGTGGTTTTCAAGACAGCTTCTAGGAGTGCTTTCCCCTGCTGAGGCTCACAGCAATTTCGGGTTCCTGGGCTGTCTCTAAGCACACCTCCAGTGAGGGCACCCACAGAGATGTGGGAGCCCAGCAGCAGCAAGTCCAGCAGCAGGCACCAGCAGACCACAGCACATTACAGCTGGCTGCCTCGGGCCTTTCACCACTACACAGTATCTTCAGGGGTCCCCCAGGCCCCCACTGATTTTTGGGAAAGCCACTTATTTGTGTCCCTGTGGAAGGGGAAAGCTTAGCTCTGAATTCTGACTTGCAGAAAATCTGATGGATTTTCTTTTCCTGTCATCTGGTTTCATTTTTCAGGCAAAAGATTTCAAAAGCAGAAACACAGAATAAAGCTAGATTTTATGGTTATATTTTTAAATCTTGAGGTCTACTGACGAAAGAGGCAAAGGAGAAAAAAAAATCTATTTCTATTACGGAACACATTCAGACAGCTACATCTAGAGCTTTTGGTGATAAAAATACCGAGCTCTTTTTGATGAGAATCACAAAAAAGATTTTAAGCTTTTGCTCATTTGATTCCTCCTGTTTAAATTTCCTATCACCTGTGGGGAATTAAGGGATTTTTTTTCCTTCAAAATTACTCCTGGATGTTAGGGAGAGATTTGCTGCTAAATCATGTAATTGCCACCTATACTGTGTCTCCAGGACCTGTTAATACTTGACTTACCTAATTTTGATTCATGCTTCATTTATTTGTAATTTGTTGCTGTAGCTGTCAGAAAAAAACCCCAGCTTTTTTCACTTAAAAAGAAAAATACGCAATTCACAGTCTATAGAAAAACCTCTAAAGTCGTAGAACTCAAGTTTTCTATGGGATTATCTTTGCAAACACATCAGGGGACCTAAAGAAGTCAACAGTTATTCATAAAAGTGCTGAAGCCAGAGACTACATGCTATTTCCACTGCCTTTTCCTTAAGCCCCTGATCCGCTAGTGTCTCCCTAGTGTCTCACTAGTCACCCTGCAATCTGCCTGACTTAATTTTTAAAAGTCTGCATCTCTGTGTTGCAGGACTGTGTGTTTCCCATTTATTGAAAGGTCTTTTATCTTTCTAAGTATTTATGTGTTTTATCTTCTCACAATCTTAATTAGCTGTAATTTAGTCTCATGGCTCTCACTGCAGTAGAAATTCCATTACCTCAAGGAGACTCAATGTTTTTATTTCCTGTTTAGTTATGTAAGTAACTTTTTACATTTGGCATATTGTCTACGGAATTCCTTGTTATTCTGTTACAGTGCTCATCCTAGGAAGTTACTATGTAGAGTATTATGACAAATAAGAGTACATATCATTCAAGGATATAAAACCTTTTTTTTAATGAACTGTCACAGTTTCCTATCCTGAAACCATTGTTTCTGCGTTTTGGATTTACACTGGCAGTACAAACTCGACAGAATGATAATACCCATTAAAATTTGTTACACTCTAAATGGTCTTGAAAAATTGTTTATGAAGGAAGTAATGCCATGTCTCATTAAATCAGAAAGATCGTTCCATTCTGTAGTGGAATGGCAGAAGAAAAATACATCATTTTAACTAATAAATCAATTGCTCAAAAGCAGATAAATATTCTAAAAATGCTAACCAACAAATTCTTGCTTTCCAGATCGCATGTATGGCACATGTGAGATAGACTGGGCAAAAGCCAACTTCTCCACAATCTACAAGTCCTACATCGTCTCCATTTTTATCTGCTGTTTTTTCCTACCTGTCACAGTCATGGTCTTCTCATATGTATCAATCATCAACACTGTCAAACTGAGCCATGCATTGACAGGACTGGGTGATCCCACAGACAGACAGAGGAGAATAGAGCGGGACGTCACCAGGGTGAGTTTGGGTTTCATACCTGGTGTGAGTCATCTCAATGAAATCTGTCTTTCCAAAAATTAATCTCAACTAGAACAGAAGAGAACAAAGCCAATCAATTGCATTTCCTTTCTTTATAACTCCAGTGACAGAGTCTGAAGTCAGTGAAGAATATGAGGTTTGTTTAAAATTTCTGCTGCATCAATTGGTTAATATTGATGCTACATCACATTTGAAAAATAATCTAAATATAATTGGAGTGGGCTATATAGCACAAACCCAAAAGATTTGGTTTGGCATATGCTCTTTTCTTTCATAAGTTACACTGAGCATACTCAGAATTTAGAGTGGAGATTTCAGTTTACTCACTGTTTAGTCTACCTGAAACCCTCTGTATTCATATAAACATATGGGAATGTAGCTATTTTCATTCTGTTAGATGAGACATTTCTCAACCACACCACCATGCCAAAATCCAGTATGCAGCTCCTAGGTCTGCCTGGCTGCATCAAAGCAAACCACTTGCTTGCCCATATTCTCCTATACCCTCAGGGCAATCCAGACCTTTCCCTTCCAGCCAAGTGTCCAAGATATTATTCTCAGTGTTTTGCTCCTGCGATGTAGTCTTACGAAATAGATTTAAGATTATTATTCTTCTTCTGTCTTTTAGGTTTCTATTGTCATTTGCACAGCCTTCATTATTGCATGGTCACCATATGCTGTCATCTCTATATGGTCTGCCTATGGTCACCCTGTGCCCAACCTTACCAGCATCCTTGCCAGTTTGTTTGCTAAGTCTGCTAGCTTCTACAATCCCATCATCTACTTTGGAATGAGCTCCAAATTTCGAAGGGACATTTTCATCTTGTTCCATTGTGCCAAGGAAGTCAAGGACCCTGTGAAGCTCAAACGTTTCAAAAACCTCAAACCAAAGCAGCCACAGCCTTCTCAGAAAGAAGAGAAGTATGCACCAGAAATGCACCCCGCGCCAAGCCCCGATTCTGGGGTGGGAAGCCCTACCAACACCCCACCTCCGGCAAACAGGGAAGTGTATTTTGGTATTCTCGATACACCATCCAATAACCCCAATATTGAATGTGATAGATTGTGAGTTTTGTGGCTGCTTAATACACACACACACACTTTGTGTCCAGGAAGACCCTCTACAGAGCAGTGCTTGAGTAATTTACTAATTCCCATTCCATCTGTTTCTTGCTATAGCACTGATGACAATACAACTCAAGCAAATCAGATGGTAAAGGGATATTTTCCTTTTATGTAGGTACAAAACGCTCCAAAGAACATTAAAATGTGGGCAGCACACCCAGTGCCAGAAACATTTGATTTTCACATGCATGCAAGAAAAGAAAGACCGACTTCAGGAGAGCAGGCATTAGCTAACAAAATTAACTAATATGTTCCTACCCAAATTTTACCAATTCTGAACTACATTTCCAAGTATGTCTTTTGCTCTTTAACAGTCACAGTAATAGATGATTGTTTTAACTCTGTGGTACTTCCCAGCCACAGCTGTAGGAGAAGACGGGCCTTGCTGAGATTGCTGCTACAGCTCCAAAGGCTGCAAGGTGGCAGAAAAAGCCACGTTCCCCTGCAGGGCACCCAGGTGTGCCCACCATAGGGCCCCACAGGCACCTCATGGGAGTGTGTCTGATCATAGGATCAGATAATACTTTGTGTTGGAAGGAACCTTACAGATCATCTTGTTTCAGCCCCCTTGCCATGGGCAGGGACACCTTCCAGTGGACCAGGTCACTCAGAGCCCCATCCAACCTGGTCTTGAATGCTTCCATGGATGGAGCGCCCACAACTTCCCTGGGCAACCTGTTGCAGTGTCTCATCGCCCTCAGAGTAAAGAATTTCTTCCTAATATCTAATCTAAACCTACTGTCTTTCAGTTTAAAGTCTTTTCCCTTTGTCCTATCACTTGTAAAAAGTCCCTCTCCATCGTTCTTGTAGGCTCCCCTTTTGTACTGGAAGGCTGCTGTAAGGTTTTCCCAAAGCCTCCTCCAGACTAAACAGCCCCGTCTCCCAGCCTGTCTTCATGGATCACCTTCATAGGCCATCTTCTGATGGCCTGTGTCTGACTCTGTGTGTGTCTATGCAAGGACCAGGAGTTGTAATACATTGAAAATACTAGCCTGGTATATTCTAGTCACTGTAGTCTGAGCAGTGGCTTCATATTTTCCTCATTGGTTTGCAGAATTATTTCCACCCCCACCCACATTCCTGTTGAGCAGGGCCTGGCTGTGGCATTCTGGTTCAGGAAAGCTGGCCTTTGATTTTACTGATCTGTCTCCAAACTGATTGTTTTTCTACCTTCCTCTGAAGGTGGAGCAAGAGATGTACAGGTAATTAAACCAAAACTGACTTGGGTTTTAAGACTACTGATGAGGTGTGGCATAAGAGCTATTTACAAAATATAATCCAACACTTCACTTTTGCTTCTAAAGAAAGTGTTGTTACCTGCCTATGGGTAAAAAGTTACTTTTTTTTTGTATACCAAACCAAGTAGCAACTAAGGCTAATGATTTAAATAGCTATACTGTAGGCCTAAATCAGTTGCCAGACTAACAGATGTTACACTATCCAATTATATCACCAAGTTTATTTTACAGAATCAAAATGAGGAGTTATGTTTTTATAATTCCTCATCCTGTAAATTAACTACATACTCAAAGACTTCTTTTAAAATGTCTCTGTGTTAGCCATGGAAATAGTGGGTTCATTTAGTGCCATTTGCAACTTAAACAGGGGAAAAAGAAGGGAAAAAATAAAAAATAAAAAAACAGCAACATTCTCTGCTAACCTCTACTATTTACAGACTTTTGAAATCTTGCTGTCTGGATGTGCTGAAATGTAGTTGTTCTGCAAAAATATGCTCTTCCAGATGTGTTTCTTGGGAAAGTTACTAAGGGAGTCCACCTCCATTTCCCCCATTACTCTATTTGTTTTGAGAAAATCACCTGTGTTTTGAAGTTAAGAACAAATAAACATTGTAAGCAACACTGGGGAACTGTGCTTTCTTTCATGGACACAGATCTGAAATAAAGAGTATTTATTTCTGTGGAAAATTTTGAGCTATGGATGCTATTTCATTACCATAAATAATTAAAAGCAAATAAGTAAGTAGTTTGCTTCCAGATAAAAGTGTATGCTGTAGCTGCAGAAATAGATGAAATTGTCCAGTGCAAAATCCTGTAGCAGCTGGATAAAGCCAGACTGGGCTAACCAAAGCTAGTACACTGTTTTGAAAGCTTCTAAGTGTAGCACAAAATCCACCATAGTAACCATGATGGACTGAGACTCCTCACTGCTGAAAGTGCTTGGGTTTTCCTCCACAGAGAGGCAGCAGTGTTGTGCAGCCCCGTGACGTTCCCAGAGACACCCGCAGCCACAGGTGTGCCAGACACCTGCCCAGAGGCACTCTGTGGCCTTAGGTGCCAGCCTGGTTTGTCATCTGTAGTTCTGCTAATTTACAGAAACCTAGAGAAAAATTGCAAAAATGCTGTTGGTCTGCAGGATTCAGACACAGACATAGAAAGATGTGGAACAGGAAAAGAGGAAGGCAGAGCACAAGACCATTTCCACAACTGTCCCCAAGCTCCAGACGAAAACTCTAAGAGTTCATACACCATTGAGCACATATGTTGAGGTTAGACTGGGGGAAGAGGCGGGAATACAAAAAAAGCCAGAATGGGAGCAGAGGGAAAATATAAAAGGGGGGAATCAGATAAGCAGGGGAGCAAGAGGGCACGAGTCTAAGGATGCATACCTGCTGAAAGGCAACTAGAAACAGACAGCACAGAAAAAGCCTTTACTGAGTGGCCCAAGACCTCTCTCCTGCAAGGCCAACACAACAAGTCTGTCGTGGATACATGGTGATACCACAGGATGGCACAGCTGTAGAGCAGAGCAGCTGGTTTCACAGGTTTCACAAGGTGTCTTTGCAGGTACCAGTCTGTGCTCCAGGTTCAGTAACAGCAGGAGCACCCTTGTCACTAAAGTTACTCAGGCAAAAAATCTTCCAGCCCTAAAGCATCAGTGCCCTGTGGCTGCACCCACAGCACCAGCAAGTGGCTAAAGGCAGAAAAAAGGTCCAGAATCCATTACTGGAGTGCATGTAGGGGAACACATTTCAGCATTTTAAGTGTGGGAATCATCACAAATCCATTTGTAAAACACTTTTCCTGTCTCCTGGATTTCCTCCCCTAGTCTCAAGTCCCTCAGGTGCCCAAACAGGGCTGGCCCCTGCTGCTGCATCATCTACAACCTGCTGAGCCAATGCTGACACTCAGAAAGGAGCAAAGAGCTCTCTAAGTTGAGACAGGCAGCAAGGAGTAAGTATGCTGAAGAGGGGTTTCATGATTTTTACTTAGCAAGAATGAAGTATGAACAACATAGAGAGTCCCAGTCAAATCACTTCTCTCCATAACCTTGCTGCTCCTCACAGCCTCAGATTTTCCTTTCCAGCTGGTGATTTTTAGCGGCAGAGATGTGAGAAGGCTGTTGTCCTGACTGGTATTCTGGTGGCAAGGAGTCTTCTCTGGAAAATTTCAGGTTTGAATGTTCTCCATCTGAGATGGTCTTACAAGGGAGGACCTACTCGCCTTGATGAAGCTACCTTCTCCCAAAGTTTTCTGTTTAGCAGCACTGTATTTTTACATTTTAATACCAAAAGCTGGTATGTATACCAGAGGCAGGGCAATATATCATATCTCCAGGACATAGGACATCCATCCCAGTGCTGGCACTTCCCATTTTGTGAAGGCACAGAGCAGGCATGGACTGCATGGACCGCGTAACAGGACCTAGTTCTTCCACTGCCTCAGCCATGGGCCTATTTCAATGTTGTCTGTGTTGAATGGCTCAGTGCCAGCCTGCACAAATGAGATCTCATGTCTATTGCTAGTATCCAAATGGTCTCTTGTCATGAGGTAGGAGAGCAATATTTGGATCTCTCTGCCTTTGGCACAGAAATTCTGGCCTGTAGGCTCCTTTTGTCTCTCTTGATCAGCCCTGGATTCTACTGTGAGATTTTGTAATTGTTGGCGTTGTTTTCATGCATGGCACACCAAAACAGTAGCACCATCTGGTAAAAGGTAGTAGGCCAACCAATTCTACCATTTTTGGAGGATACTGTCAGCATTTTCTGGCTTGTCCCAGCAGGATCTGAGACAGAGATCTTATCCTAAATGCAAGGAACCCACCCAAGATCTTGCTAGCTGTTCATTATCCATTTCTGTAATCACAGCCTTTTTGACATTGCTAAAACACCCTGGAAAAAAAGATGTGCATAATGAAGACACCTTGAAAAATGCTTGAAACCCTTAAGTCACCATTTAAATTATGACTTTAGTTACTCTACATATTAATTTCCAACCCCAGTTGTTTTGATTAGCTATTGATTAGTACACTCAGCAGGTGAGTTCTTAATGGCCACATAATTCATGTGTATCAAAATCTCATCAGGTCTCACTTGATTACTTCTTATTATCAATATTATTCGTAATTATCAAAATATCAGTATTATAGCAAAATCACTGCAGTTATTTATCACAAAGTGCAGTTATTAATACTCACATGTACAACCTGGCCTTGCAAGTGGATTACCAACATCCCTGTCACCGACACCACCTTTTCACTGGGGCTACAGAGTTCAAACAATTAAGTTAATTCAGGATTACTTCTATTCAATTTCCACATTTAAAAATAGCCTCTTCTGGACTGGGGAGAGGGAAAAAAAAAAAAGTGATAATCCTTTGTTTATTTATGCCAAGAAAACCTCTTGGGCCCACATTTCCCCTGCTAGCATTTTTGCCAAGCTGAAAACCCTTCAGGATGTTGGCACATTGAAATACATAACAGCATTTCTTAATAGTTTTGACATTTCTAATGCAAACATGAATAACTTGAGTGTGTAGTTGGAGGGAGTGGGATAGCCTACTCCAGTCCAGTCCCTGTTCTCAGTGCTGTTGTGCGTTTTTATCTAATGACTCATGTAAAAGTATTTCTTGTAGCAGAGACCAGAAAACAAGAAACCCTTCATCCCCCCGTAAGACAGTGATTTTATTACAGCGTGAACTACTCAGG